AGGTAAGCAGTGCCCAGCTGGAGCCCACATCCTGAAACCCTACACCAATCATGAACCCCCTCTTGCACCCCAGGCTCCTGCCCCAGTCCCAAGCACCCCTGCACCCAAACACGCTCCCAGAGCCTACACCTAGAACCCCCTCCTACATCCCAACTGTCGGCCCCAAGGTCAGGTCAGAGCCCCTCTCACACTCCAAATCCCTTAATCCAAGACCAGAGCTAGCACCCCAACTCATTGCCCCTGCCTGGTAAAAGGGAGGGAGGATGGGGGAAGGGAGGGAGAATGGAGTGAACAGGGGCGGGGTCTCGGAGAAGGGGTATAAAGGAGGCAGGGCAAAGGTATTTGGGTTTGAGGTAGCTCTTGGGTTGCGCTTAAATTAAAAAAGTGATCTTGTGCTTAAAAAGGTTGGAGACCCCTGCCTTAGAGCTTCCAAAGGAATATCGAAAGTAATGAAAATGCCAATTAAAAATGGTGAAGTATATCCCAAGAGAGATTACCTTTAAGAAGCATAACCTTATTTATATTACACTAGTGCCAGGGAACTGTAGCCATGGGCCAGAACCCCATCATACTAGGTGCTATACTAACGCATTATGAGATACTGTATTCTTATTGGAGAAGGAGCAGAATAGTTTAACACAACTCGATCACTTTAAGACTCTCATTTCACAAAACAGATTCCTTTATTCATTAACAAGAAGAGAGAAGACTTCTATTAGTACATTTTGCTTTCAGGGGAATACATTAGCATTTATATCATATAAAGTTCCAATGAAAAATGAGCATTAACTCGGAGCATTCCAAACACTACTTATTATTGCACTGGCTGAGTATTGTCCACAGAGTACAGCTTGCACAAGTTGCTCATTGTCACTGCTATACTAATGAAGAAAATAGCCATGGCACAGGAACAGAGGCAAAGCATTGGGCTGTAGCTACAGAAAACAAAGCCTCATTTAGAAGTCCCTAAAGGCACCAGACAGCCTTTTTCTGGCCTAGTCACTACATGTGTCAACCAAGAGTATCAAGTGTAATGTAATGCAGGGCACCTCAAGGTTTTGGATGGCTCCAACATCTACGGCTCGCACTTCTCAATCTGGGTGATAGTATTACCTTCGGTCAAGTTTCCATACCGCTACTGGCAAAAGTTAATTTCACTCTGCTGCAAGAAAAGGTCACCTGAACCAGTTTTACAAATGCTAAGTCCCCTGAAAAATAATTTTGGCCCAAACTATTCCAGTTAATTAAGGTCAGATGCCTGTATAGGCGCTGTAAAATGAGGCATCGAGCAAGTTCCTCAATGAACATAGATGTTGTGGGATGTGCACGTAATGAGAACTCCAACAGGTAAGTGAAAGGCTGTAATAACTGCAAGCTGGAGTTCAACAGAACTCAGTAGCAAATAACATTTTCAAATGTAACTGTCCAATATCGGAGTTAAGTGAGAATCTGAAGCAGAAAACCCACAGCAAATTTACCAAAAGCATTATTTGCTTCCATTTTTGCAGGTCAATGTTCCTCATAGACAGTTTTCTATTATTCAAAAATATATGTTCTACACTTCAAATCATTAGTCTATTTCTACACCTACTAGTCGTCCAGGAGCCAAGCCATGCACTGTTGCATAACTTGGGATGGTGCCAAATTGGTATAGTATACTTAATGAATGGTGAAAGCATAACTTGACATGGCTTAAATGCGACTATGACCGAAGCGGATGCTAGGAGAAGGTTCCCTTTAAGCAGAAGCAAATCTGGTAAACAACGGTCAATGCCCATATATGTGATCAATATTAAATCAATTAATCATCAAATATGGGCCCATGAAAAAGTAAATGGTATGCATAAGAGTTCCAGCATGGAACACAGGCCATCCTGGTTACATAAGGAATGTCATGCAGAGAGCGAGACTGAATGATTGATGAGTGAGTAAACATGAAGTGTATTTCATTCAATGCCATCCCCCTCTTTTACCAATTAGGAACAAATTAGTAACCACACACCCAAAGGGCATACTTTTAAGACATGCAATTCCTTTAAGGAAAAAAAGAATATAAGAATATAAGTTAAATTACATTTGCTTGGGATTCCCTAATACTGACATTGAAAAAGCTTGCCACACTGCTAGAAAAAGAAAC